TTTTTAGTTGTTTCATCTCGTATCTATGTCAGTATCGTGATGGTGAAGTGGAGAGGGTGATTTTTTTCCTCTAGGCTTCGTTCGGCCGACTTTGCTTCGTCCTCATTGAAAAGTGATCCTGAAAAAAAGGTCGATTCGCAAAATTATGTTGATTTTCAATGTACGTGATGACATGCGATTGCTGGCTATGCTTATGCCTACTCCAACGTCGCAAAGCGCTGCCCGCTGCATAGCCGAGAAGTACCACATCATTGCATCAGACCGCAGAATCTCACTCAACAAGCGCCCAGATATTGTGTCGAAATGTCGCTATGCTGCGAAGTTCCTGCTCGGCAAGTGACCTTTTAAAATTACTCTTGCTAGGCCCGCTGAATCAATGTATGAAACTCCACACTCTTGCTTACACACATCGCTGCCTCTGTAACACTACCCGTACCGCATATAAATCGGATCTTGGCTGTTCATCCTGTATTAGTTGTCTGATGATTGCCTATGGACATGAAACTATCAGTTCCAATGAATGATGCGTGGTGCTCTATGTCGTGTGTAACTCGGAATGCTCTATTTGAACGAATTTTGAGCACTCTACCGAGTTGGAGGACTTCCATTTGTAGCTATGCTTTCATTACTGCCCTCCCTCTCTCTCCCTCTCTCTCCCTCTCTCTCTCCCTCTCTCTCTCCCACCTCCACCAAAACACAAGAATGCAAATAAAAACCGTGCAGTGGAAAAACTCCGGGCTCACAGGCGTGATTTAAAGCGCCAATTTCGTAAGATCAAAAACCCGGACGAAGTACCTGCAGCGCTCAGAAATGAGTATTTTTCAATTGGAAAACAAATCAAGCGTCTTTTGAAACAACAAAAGATGTACGACGATCGATCCCGGAACAAGAGGGACCAGGATGCCTTTCTCAAGGACCCATATGCCTTCGGAAAGAAATTGTTTCAACCAACCAACCATGTCAAACCCACTTTCTCTGACACTACCTGCTTTGAGTACTTCCAACACACATATGCAGACCAGGATCGTGCCACTTCGTACGAATCCTGCCCCAGTGCAGGGAAGCCCCGGGATTGCACCCACCCAGTCGATGAGGGGACCCCTACATGGACTGAATTTCAGAATGTTTTGAAGAAGTGTCGCAACACCTCTGCACCGGGTCCTGACAAGATACCTTACATAGTTTGGAAGCTTTGTCCCTCCCTTCAATCCATTCTTTTCACCATCTTTGGGCGGGTTTGGGAGAGCAAGATCATTCCAAGGCAGTGGCAGGTAGCGTGTATCACACTCCTGGCCAAGGGGGAGGTGTCTGATGATCCTTCGAAATTCCGACCGATTGCTCTAGCGAACACGTCCGGGAAGATCTTTTTCACCTTAGTTGCAAAGCGCCTCTTGAAACATATGCTAGGCAATAAGTTCTTCGATGGTGACAACCAGAAAGGATTTATGCCTGCAAAGGCTGGGTGCTTAGAGCATACATCACTTTGCTATGAGGCGATGCGTGATGCAAAGACGGCAAAACGCCAAATTTGCATTGCGTGGATAGATTTGAAGAATGCATTTGGTTCAGTGCGCCACAATCTGATACAGTATGCTCTAACCCACTACAGCCTTCCTTTGCAATTCAGGAATTAATTTTTTTCCTACTTTGGCAGTCTTTGCGCTTTCGTCGTACAACCACACACCCCCACCTTTAATTACAACATTGGTGTTTTCCAGGGGTGCCCCTTGTCCCCGGTCCTTTTCAATATTTGTTTCCAGCTTCTGCTGGACTCACTTGCAGCCCCTGAATTAAGTTGCCTCTCCTATGATTTTAAATCTTCCCCTTTGCAAGTGTCCCAAACAGCTTTT